CTGTGATTTTTAAAAGTTATGAAAAGGCATCATCCACCCTGCTGAGCCCTTCTGATTGGGAAGCATAAAAGATGAATTCCCATTTGGTGAAGAATTTACAGCAAAACTAAATTGAGGAAGCATCCACGTTCTAAACAAATCTACACAGAAATATTGTGAAGATGTGATGAAGTCACATCTTCATCATCCCTCAATGGAAGAGCTCCATACAAACATAAAAAAAAAAAAGTCAGCAATTTCTTATGTTCTCTTCAAAACAAATGTAAAACATGTGTGTACTTTTTTTTTCCTTTTCATTCTTTCTTAAATATAAATCAAGTGAATTTCTGCGTTAGGGTCGACATGTTTTAAAGACTGCTGCTTTCTTCACCTCAGTGACTGCCCAGACTCACTAAGCAGCATTCAGTACTATGTTCCCTGTAACGGACAAGCAAGGGCAGGCGCTAACCGAGGGAGACGGGGCTTCCTGTGAAAGAAGCAACAGTCTCCTTTTTCGAGTGACGCCTCTAGAACTCGCCTGTCCAGGTGTGCCTGGCTTTCGGAAACCTGATGTGGGAAAAGCTCGATAATTCAGACCAGTGGGGGACCAATAAGGGAGAGCCCAAAGGAAACAACTCTTAAGAAATATCCTTTGAAATACACAGGGAGCCTTCGGCCAGGCCGGTCCACGTTCTGTAAGGCCTTCTCTAGCTCTCGGAGTGATCAAATGGTGAACTGGTTTTATTTTAGCTAAATGATGCTTCTAATGTGCTTAACGTTAAGTAATTACACAGACTCCCTTTCAGTCTATTTATTTACATGATTAATTTTGCTTAGTAAATCTGCTTCGTCTCCCCCAAAGAATACAAAGATAAACTTTAGCTGAGTCTTTACAATTATGCTGCATAAGGGTAATTCTCTGTGGGCTTTCCCAGTGCAATTAAATGCGACAGGGCATGACCCGGAATGACTCGCCCAGAGCAGTGAGGAGGCACCAGGATGTGGAGAAGTAAGCTCTGGAGACCAAGGCTCACTGACGAGTTCGGAACCTCACGCTTCCTGGGGGCAGGGACCTACTTCGTGTCCTCTGAGCATGTAGCCCAGGGCCTGATACAGGGCGCCCACTCCAGAAATATCTGCAGGCTGAGTGAGTTAATGGGATAAGGACAGAAAGCCATGGCAACATGGAACTCTTTCTGCCCAACTTCTACGGCAGAAAATGCATCCTTTCCGAAATGCATCATCTCCAAGCCAGGCCCAGCCATACGCCTGGCCCTCGATCCCGGGAGGACACACAGACACTTACAGCCCCGCAGTTGGGCATTTCACAGATGAAGGAGCCTGTGGGCTGGCCGAGGGCCTGCAGGGGCGGCCCTTCCGCGGGAGCCAGGACCGGGCCTGGCTGCGGCTCCGGGGACTTGGGCACTTCACTCTCCTCTTCTCTTGTGGATTTCCTATCTTCTTCCTGGTCCTCCTCCTCCTCCTCCAACTCTTCTTCTTCTTCGCTTGTCTAGTGTTAAGGCAATAAAAGCAAAAAGGGGAAAGTCCCCAGATGGCATTTTTAGTGAACAGAACCCACAGGCCAGGAGAGGGTGGAGGGGCTGGGTGCGGGGCTGCACCGGCTTCTCCCTGCACGAGGGACGCTGATCGAACCCTGGGCTGGAGGTGGGAAGTACTGTCTCACTGGGCGCTGGGAATTCTGAGTCTGGGAAGTCCCGCCCACCCTGGGTCCCTCCTTACTTATATAAAATATTTGAAGGCAGGGAGGAGAGATTTCTGTAGGTAGAGTTTCTCCCCCTGGTTCAAGACTGAAACCCAGGCAAGGCTGCCCACTTGGGTCTGTCTGCCCTCTGAGTCCCCAGAGCCGTGTGGAGGGTTTCCAAGCAATAGCAACACGGTGGGACCCCGTGGAGAGAGGCTCAAGACCTATGGGGTTTGTGCTATAGGCCTCGTAACCCACTGTCACGCAAGGTGCCCGAGATGTTGATTTGACCTGGGGAAAGCACGTGACACAGGGTGTCCCAATGCGCTCCTGCTCTGATCTCATCAGGAAAGAGAATCAGAGTGAGCCACAATGACTGCAAAAAGGAGAGAACACGCAAAGGGACATTCCCTTTTATTTATCATGTGTTTTTCTCATCCTGGTCTCCGGTCATGAGCTTGTAGAAATGCCTTCCAGAGGCATTCTAAGAACAAGGAAAGGCAGGTATTTTCTATGAATGGTTATCGGCTCCGCTACCGTGTCCCCTCCACTTCAGAATAGCAACCAGCTGCGGAATTAAGCAGAAGGCCCACGCCTTCCTCAAGGTTAACAAGATCGTGAGTTAACAGAGCAGCTTGGAGTAGGCACCCGGGGCGGTTTGGGATGGAGGGCAGGGATCTAGGAGGCTCTCATTCTGCCTCTTGTTTAACTAACGACCTCATTCTGCTCTCCATCTTCATTTGGGCGGTGGGAGAGGTGACAGATGCTGGCTCCTCCAGGCCCAGTAAGGACTGGGGACCAGAAAAAGGGAGTTCTATGTTACATCAGCCTCATTTCAGCTTCTGTTTTATAGCACTTTACAGTTTACAAAGTGCTTTCACATGGCCATATCACTGAATAGTCTGTAAACAGTCTCCACAATTTATGAGGAAAAGAAAAGCATGCCCAACCAATGGCGCATTCATCTCTGCCCGCCTCCTCTGTCTCCCTCTCTCTTTTTATATTGTTTTATTTTTTTTGAATTAAATGTATTGGGTTGACATTGGTTAATAAAATTATATAGGTTTCAAGTGTACAATTCTATGATGCATTGTTGTGTGTTTATCACCCAAAGTCAAACCTCTTTCCATCACCATGGGTTTGATACTGTCACGCCTCTTTGCACACCACTGCTTAAAGCCTGTGGGCTCCAGCTTGGTTTCCCCCGGCATCGACGTAACCGAAGTGAGCCTACGATTCTTAGAACCCAGAAGCAAGAATTCCCAAGAAGAATAAAGATTTCTGAGAGCAGTGGTACCCTGGGTCCTGAAACCACAGCTTCCGCTCTCCGGTGTGGACTGGGCTTGGGAGAAAGACAATGCCGGCACATATGGGGCATGTAGCACTCCCCTCCCTGGGTCAGCAGTGTCTGTATTTAATACCACATACGCATATTTAAGATGATGTAGTAACAGGGTGTATTTAAGAACCAGTCCCAGTTTCCAGTGAGTTAATTAGGATTAATTAGTAATAATTACATTTGCTGAAAGGCTTCAGTGAATACAGATGTAGGACTAATACATTTACAGAATGATTTATGATAGAAGCTGTAGGTTTCGTACTAACGTACAAACATACAGGTTGATTTCATTTAAATGGCCTCATTTCCGTATGAATCCTCCATCTTCCAGTCCCTAAGACTTTCAGCTAAAACCACACTATGTCAAACTGCAAGGGTTCACTCCATTCCTTTATAGAACTGGAACTTTGTGGTCTCAAATACCAATTTATTAAGCAGCCCAAGGCCGATAGCTTGGCTTTTAAAATAAATTATGTAATAATTTTAAATGACAATGGCATTATTTCGTGGTACTTACTATAATTACAATTTTCTCACAGTGCCATATTTTTGGCTTAAGAACTCTGAGAGGCCGGGCCAGTGTGGCCCAGTTGGTTGGGCATCTTCCCATGCACTGAGAAGTTGCCAGTTTCATTCCCAGTCAGGGCACTTGCCTGGGTTTTGGGCTTGACCCCTGGCAGGGCATGTACAGGAGGCAACCAATGGCTCTCATATTGATGTTTCTCTCTTTCTCTCCCTCTCTAAAAATCAATAAAATAGTTAAAAAAAAACAAGAACTCTGAGAAGAAACATTCCAGATAGCCACAAAATTACAGATTCAATTATACCGTCCTGTGATTATAATGTCTTAGGAATTTAGATAGATTGGCAATCTATACATGCTTACAGAATGATTTATCATTAAGCCAAATGGCTCACCAAAGTGACTAAGAGATACAAATATAGGAAGACAAAAATCCTGACATGTAGAACTTCTTATCAACAAGTTGGCTATTTTATGATGTGTTGTGAAACGAAACATTTATCAATATTCCAGATTTATAAGTGAAAATACAAATGTTCAAGAACCCATATTTACTCCAAGACACAGATCTGAGTGTTATAGTCACTAAGGATGATGGTGGTGACAACATACTGAATGACTGCTGAGCCAGGATCCACACACATTGCTAGTTCTCACAACAGCCATGTACAAATTTTTCTTTTTTCTATTTATTTATTATTTATTTTTATATTGATTTCAGAGAGGAAGGGAGAGATAGAAATGTCAATGATGAGAGAGAATCATTGAGTAGCTGCCTCCTGCATGCCCCCTACTGGGGATTGAGCCAGCAACCTGGGCATCTACCCTTGACTGGAATCCTGGGACCGTTCAGTCTGCAGGCCAACACTAATCCAATGGAGCCAACCGGCTAGGCCAAATTTTTCTTTTTCAAACAAATGAGGAAATTAGCCAGATAACTAATTTGCCCAAGGTCACAGGGCTGGTAAAGAAGTTGAACTGAGATTTAAAACCTGGGCTATCTGATTGCCAAACCTCCCCCTTCTTCTCCCCTCGGCCCTGCTGCAAATGTCCACAGGCGTGCGTTTGCCCACTTGTACACGGAGGCTTAGGTTTTCAGCTCAAACACAGAAATCCTAAGCCTCTCAGAGCCACTGGGACCAGCTGCCTTTACATCTCCAAGGAAGCAGGATGCTCCCTGGTCGGTGGACCATGATGTAGGTACCTAAGGTGCATAGACCATGGTGAGCTCTGCCCTGGGAGCCTTGACCGCCGTCATCCAAAAACAGTTAACTGTGTCAGTTTCCTCAATTTTGTTATCTTTTGGCCACAGCCAGACCCACAGGTATGTCCAGAGTGGAATCGTGAGAATGGACAGGGCACAGGAAGGGGAAGTCAGCACACGCTGCTCCCATCTCCTTCACAGAGACCATCTTGGCCCCTTCTGCCCACGAGGGGGCAAGGGCCTGTCATGGCTTCAGGCCAGAAGGCAGACTACCCTGCTGGTTCCCTAAAGAGCCGCTGTTCCCCACAAACTCTCCTGCTCTCCCCTCTCCCCACACATGTCCCTAAGCTACCTGAGCATGCTCCAAGGTGGGGAAATGGTCATCTGTCCCTTTAGTAACACACTGAGGACACGGGATCAGCAGAGCTACCCCCGGTGTCCAGGCAGGCTTGGAGGACAAAGAGCAGGACCCTGCCCTAGGACAGCGCCTTCTGCACCCTCCCCAGTCCTTGCACAGTCCTGACTTTCCATCTGTAAACTACTCTCAGGAGGCGGAGCCCTCACAGTGCCCCAAAGGGAGCCAGAGCTACCACACTGGCCTTAGATCAAGGTTTTCTTGTTTCTGTGGGCCCGAGTCATCTCTGCACATACCTGTCTATGCTCCCTACGCTCAGAGGCCATGAGGGCGTGGATGCTCTGATCCAGCTTCATACTGGCTCCTAGTGATTAAGCCCAAGAAGGTGTGGCCCTCGGGTACCAGCTCAACCGCTCAGAGCTCCTGAAGCTATAGGCTGGCCTGGCTTTCCTACCCACATCACAGCCCTGCTGGCCAGGGTGGTGCCTCTGGCTTGATGGTAACCTTTTCCTCAGCACCACCCTCTGCTCAGGACCACTGCTCACCTGTCTCCCTCCAGGGAGTTCTTAGAGGGATTATTACCATGCACCTCAGAAAAACGTTCACTCATTCATTCAGCAAGTATTTGTTGAGTGCCTCTGTGATGCCAGACACGATCCTAGGCACTTGATAACACCCAGGCCTGAGACACCACTCTGCCTAAGGAAACCCTACCCTCTGGTTTGGCCTCTCCCAAAACATGGCTCTGACAGCCCTGAACACTCCAGAGTTGGAAGAAGGGACCTTCCAGATCGTCTAAGCTGTTTTACAGCCTAGGAGCCGGTCCTGGGTCTCCAAGGGCAGGATTCTCTGTGCTTCCTTGTTTACTGTCTATTCGACTCATTTGGAAAGCAATGCTCGGTGTGACCTGGGCAAGCCTCTCCCCCTCTCTGGGCCTCAGCCTCTGGCGGTGGAATGGTGGAGCTGGATGAGAAAGAGATTGCCTAAGGCCATATCTAAGAGCTCTGTTCTCACTGCATGTTGCTTTTAAACACTCTTGTGTGTGCCACATCTTCCCAGCTAGAACGTATGCTCCCCTGGGGGGAGGAGGGGCAGAGGCCATTAACACCCCGGAGTCACCCACTGCGCCATACATATTGCAGCTTACGCTGTGGGAGCTCAGCTGGTCTTGGTTGCTGTTTTTATTTTTTAATGTCTTCAGTGCCTGCAGCCTAGGGTAGAGGCAGGCAAATGGTTCCAGGCCACAGTCTGCTCTGGCACGGGGCACCATGACAGACCCAGGGGGACAGCCCTGCCCTAAATCCAAACCCATGCATCACACTGCTTTTTCAAACATTAGGCCATGGATGAGCAAAAGGCTATCCTGCTACAACACATCACTACTTCAACCAGTCAGACAAAAGCCCTGGTGCAGGAAAACCTCTCTACAGAGCACTGTCCCCTTTAATCAAAAGAGTGGAAACCCCATGCTACTCCACAGATGTCTATTTTGTCTGATATTTGGGTCCAGATATAAATTTACAGATGTGTGCAAATATCAGAGCTAGGTACCATACTTAGTGAGGAACGTGGGCTTTTGAGTGGGTCCCCGTGTTTTTACATTTCTGTAAGAGAATTTGCACTTGACTTAAGTATTACATGAGGGAATCGGGCTCAGACAACACACTCCCCAGCCATTGCCCACAGCGAAGCTACTCTGTGCCTCAGTCTTCTATCTCATGGAATTGGAATGAGGATTAAACGAGCCCATGTTTGTGAGCGCCTCGCACGATGCCTGGTACACAGCACGTGTCTTTTTAAGAACCGACTGAGGACTCTCAGAAGGAAGGTGGGGGTGGGTGGGTGGCCGGGAGAAGTTAACCGGAGAACTTACATGCCTATACGCATGGCCCTCGGACACAGACAATAGTGTGGCCAAAGCCTGGGAAGGGTGGGTGCGGGGTGCAGGGGGTCAATGGGAAAAAAAACAAAGGGGACCTCTGTAATACTTGCAACAATAAAGATTAAAAACACACACACAAAAACGTGTCTTTTCAAGAAACGCCCCCACCCCCCACATATGTGCTAACACTCATACTGGGGCACCATGGAGAATGAAAGTATGATGACAAATATTCACCCCATTCATGAATTCTAGCCACGTTCGCTGATGGCGACAGAGGCTGGGGTTTGGTAATGTGTTGTAGACATGTACCTTGTACATACATACATGGTAGGGGCTGTTTTCCACAGCAGGTGGGATTGCCCCTGGCCATGGACTCAGAGAGGAGCGCTCCCCCAAGGGTGAACAGGGCAGTAACGACCAAAGCCACCCGATACCAGGGGTACATGGCGATGTGGGGGCTGCAAGGATCACTCCCTGCTGAGCAGTTCCTCAACAACCCAGCGTCCCCCGCCCCATCTGGAGGTCACGCTCCTTCCTGCTGGCTTCAGGGAAGCCGCGGCCAAGCTGGGGCGCCTTCATCTTTGGGGGGCACCTCACGTTCTCTGGCCAGCACCGTCCCTGATGGGGAAGGATGAGGAAGGGGTGTGCCAGGGGGTCAGGGCACCTGCTTATAAAAAAAACCTCCCACCCGAGGCTGGGGCCAATCTGGCTTAACTCTCTGGCTCCTGACAGCCTCAGGCCGAACCCGGGCTGCCTTCCCTCGGCCTCTACATCAGAAAGACAGAGCCTGAATCCCGCCAGGGAGCGGGCTCGTCACCCCCTCTCTGAGGCCACCTGGGCAGCAAAGCCAAACCAGACAGCAGCCGCTTACTAACCTGGCTGTGGGGTGGGAGCAGGGCCAGCATAAGCAGTGACTCGGCGGCTTCACTCACCATACAGTCATCCGCGAGCTCCGTGAGGCGTGTGCGGTGCTTCCGACCCAAGCGCATGATTTTCTTCCACGTGTAGTAGTACTCCACGCACTGAGCCACCGTCTTAGACTTCACCTGCGGGAGCCGGGGCAAGGTCAGCTCCGAGCCTCAAGCTCTGGGGAACACTTCATTTGGTAACGGGCAGCAGGCTTATGCGGTGGAATAGAAAGTGTTTCCAGAGAGAAATCTCCTTCTCACGCCTGCTCTCCAGCCAGCCAGCTCACTCCCCGCCCCGGCCACACAGCTATAGCCCCTCTTACTGATTTCTTGGCTAGCATTCCAGAATTTCTTTACTATTATTGTCACTACGACGAGGGGCCCAACTCCAGAAACTACTGGCTTGAGGGGGGAGGGCACACATCTTCCCTTCTCCAATTTCCCAGAAAAAAATTCTGCTAGAAACACGATAGATCGGTCAAATATACATGAATAAATTATTTTAATTGTGAATCAGAAGCCCCAGGTCTATTTATCCCAATAGGATGCATAAGTTAAACATTTTTATGCATATTACCAACAAACACAGAAGCACATTTTCCTCGCAGAAGATAGCACATGCATGTTTTGCAACTTGATTTTTTTACAGTGTGGCCTGGGGACTTTTTCCTGTCAGGCCTCTGAGCGCTCATTCCCTTGTTTAACCCATGAAGCAGCGTGCTTTTGCATTAAACCTGTTGGAATGTGTCTGGGTCTCTGACTTGCTGACCTTCAAAACCCATCTATGAAGAATGTTCCTTAGTCATGGAACAGGAACGTAAGGCAAAGCTGTAATGACAAAAGCTTAGTTTTCGCAGGAAACAAGCCTTGCTCTGCTTGCCCCAAAGGGGGAAAGGTAAATGTGTTTTAAAGAGAAAAAAGTCCTTTCCTTAGTTCACGTACCTCTAAGCTCTGAGTGCGGTTGGATAATGTGGGTTTTCTGGAGGCAGGTAAAAGCTGGCGTGCCCTTGGGGGCGGGAACAGGGCCACCGCTTGGTAAGATGAGGACACCAGACACCACCAGGAGTCTCGTCTCCTCAAAGCTGCCCCTTCACATCCACCTGATACCTTGAATTTCTACACTAGAATCGCCCGGGGTGGAGGGGGTGGGGTGGGGGGTGAGGACAGTGTCCCAGAGAGCCCTGGCTTAAAAACCCATGCTTCCTGACAAGCTGGGCACATGACTGTACCCTCAGTCAACAGGTGTGAAGCCTGCAAGGAGGCCTAGGTCTGGCCAGTTTGCTCAATGGTTAAAGCCCCGGCCTCAGGTTCAATTTCCGGTCAAGGGCATGTACCTCAGTTGCAGGTTCGATTCCCAGCCCCGGCTGGGTGGCATGCGGGAGGCAACCAGTCAATGTGTCTCCCTCACATCGATGTTTCTCTCTCTCTCCCCATCCTCTTCTCCCTTCCACACTCTCTCTAAAGATCAATGGAAAAAATATCCTTGGGTGAGGAAAAAAAAAAAAAGGAATGAAGCCTAGGTCAGGTGACTCAAGATCAGAGCATGGAGCTGGCGCAGAGAATGTGGTGGCCTCCAGGGCAGGGAGCGGGGAGTGATACAGATCTGGAGACAGGCCAGCTGGACAGAAAGTCCACCTATTTAGATCTCCGTCCATCAAGGCCCTCAATTAAGGACATGTACCCAGCTCACCCCTCGTACCACTGGCCCAGCTCGGATCCAGGGGAGCTGTCGCCTGTTCTCCGTGGACCTGAACACCTTCATGAGCACGTAATGAACATGCTCCGTCACTCAGCGATCTGCTGAATCCACTTAGAGTCATTTTAACTTCTAGCCTAAACCACCTCTGAGCCATGTAAGGCCGATTAGGTTTGCCACCCGCTGCATAAAGTGCTACTGCGGCTCCTAGTATGTGCAAGAGTTCCATTCTGCTGTGATGTGCTGTATATATATGTAAACCATCATTTTCACTATTACTGTCATTATGATTGGAGCCCAACACCAGAAACTACTGGTTGGGGGGAGGGCACATCTCCCCTCTCCAATTTCCCAGAAAAAAAATTCTGTCAGAAACATGACAGAGTCACCAAATGCCCATGAAATAAATTATGTTAATTGTGACTCAGAGGCCCCTGTTCTATTTATCCCAATAAGAATGCATAAATGACACATTTTTATGAAGATATAAATAAACCCCCATCACTCTCAAATAGTCTATCCTCCCCCCCACCCCCCTGTGACACTGGGGCCATGCCACCCTTCCCCAGCTAGGGGTGGAAGACACCCTTAGCAGAGCATGAGGCCAGGAACCAAATCCTTCTACATATCTTTCCATGGACAATTACCCAATTCGGTTTCAAGTGAGCAACAGGAAAGGGCATGCTTACCATCTTCTGTACAACAATAAAGTCTTTGCTGTAAGTGGCTAGTGCTTTGTTAAACAGTTTTCTTTCTAGGGAGGTCCACTTGTCCGAACCTACGACAAAACACACGCTTCGTTAAGAATGGCTCACAGCTCTCCCCACTTTGCCGTTCCAGCTTCATGGGTCTCCCCGTCTGAGTGGCTGATTCGCTTAGTTAAGGTACAGAATGAAACTGTTCAACAAATAACAGACTACCCATCAAACTCCTTTCTGAACAAAAAGCTGGTGCAGTGTAAGGGCCGGTCTTAGCTGTGGCCTTGATTTTAGCACATTACTGACCCTAAGACTCACTTCTGTTACCAACAAATGGGGAATAATTCTAATTGTCCCCACTTTTAGGATATTTATGAAGGTTAAAGAGAATGCACAGAGTGACTAGGTTAGGAACTGGGAAACAGTGCGCGCTTGACACATTTTAGCTCCAGTTTTTATATCATGATGATGTTCACGAGTGCAGGCATTCAGGTAGCAGGTGCTCCTTGCAATGTGGTGGATTCGGCAGTCTCCACCCTCCGGAGGGTCACAGTCCAGGGGGGAGGCGAACCAGGAAGCCACTGCATGCAAGGTGATGACCACAATGAGGAAGGTGGAAGTCAGGTGCCAGTGGGGCGCCAAGGAGGAACACACGCTCAGGTGAGGGCCGGGGCACCCGAGTGGAGTTTCCAGGGACACAGAAGCAAGTCAGGCCAGGAGATGGAAGGGAATTCCAGGGAGAGGAAGTGTGTGCGCAAAGCCAGAGGCAAGCAACGAGAGGATGCATTTCCTTCCTTCCTTCTTCTACCCATCCACTCAAGAGATGCTTATTAGGTGTTTACTACGTGTAAGAAGCTGTGCTGGGGGGAAAAGCTAACATTTCTAAAATGCTTTACGATGTGCCAGGTTCTAAGCACTTCACAGAAATCAGTCATTTGGTTCTACCAACAACCAATATGGGTATTGCCAATACCCATCGCACAGCTGAGGAAATGGAGGGGTTCGCGGAATAAGCAGCAATCAATCCAGTGTGCTTCAACTATGGGGCTGCAGCAGAGGGAGAGCAGATGATGCTGGGGGAGTGGGACCAGTTCCTGATAGACCTGCAGACCAATGAGGAAGAGGCCCCGCGAGGCTGGGCTGGTGCATCTGCTTTGCTGGCTAAACTTGACATTCATGTCTATTTCCTCCCTAAAGGAGAAAGCAGCATATGCAGATGGTTGTAGAGAATGGTGCTGGGCTCTTTGGGGCAAAGACATAGGCCTAGGTCCAGGGGCTTTGCAGAAAATCAGCCTCATTCTTCAGGTTGTTTGAAGTCTCCTATCTCTAATTCTTGGGATGGTAGGTGGATGCGTTTTTGACATTCCTCTACTTCTCGAAGCTATAATTCCCCAAACCATGCTATTTTCCCTCCCAACCAGGACAAGCCCAAGGTTTCCACTTTGCTATGGTTGATTGATGGGGCTTAAATACAGGAAACCTGAGTTGCTTCTTCGCTTGGAAGATCCAGCCAAAATTAGCGAATCCGGTGAAACGACTCCGGGCAGGCAGGGGTTGACGATCCTGGAGTCCGTGACTTAGTGATGTACACTCAGATTTCTGGAATAAACACCCCTCCGTGGGGTCCTCAGCCCAAGAGCTCTGAGTCCTGACTCAGAATATGCTCTCCAGAGCTGGGCTGGTCCAGCCCCCGAAGAAATCAGGGCCATCAACGGACTTGGCTGATTTCTTTACTTCTAGAAGGAAAACAGTTTTCCGATTCATCCTCAGCAGAAGGCAGCATCTTCCGTAGGTTCTGGAGGCCGGGGCACCCCTGGCTGTGAGAGCCACCGCAGAGAGAAGAGGCAGGCGGGTGGAGAAGCTCTGCAGGAGTGGGCGTGAGCGAAGGAGGGTGGCGGGATTTGGGCCCTGGAGCAGGCCCATCGCCATTCCTCAAATTCTGTCCAACATTCCAGGCCTTGGGGTCCCAGCTCCCATATGCCTCCCCCCGCCCCGCCCCGTGGCAGAGATGGAAAGGCAGAAAGGATGAACCAGCAATGTAGAGGACCAACCGAAGAGGAGTCATGGATCCTCTCAGGTGTCCATCAAAACAGAGAGAGCTCAGAGCAATGACGGTGGAAGAGGATCATGACGGGGACATGTCACAGCAGCCGAGTCCCGGGGAAGTTTCTAAAGAGGTGGATGTGCTGCCCGGCTGTAGGCCCAGGGTCTGTGCAGCTCTGGGTTGCATCTCAGATGGGGAACCAGGGACATTCTGTTGATGAAAACCCCTAACTAGGTCAACGAGGATCCTTTCCATGGTCAGCCAGACCGTACATGTCCCGAGTCTGAGTCCAGCTAAGACCTGGTGAGACACCCAGCCTGCCTTGGTCAGTGCCGTCTCTCCGGTGGACATGCTCTTCCACCCCACGGGGGGCTCCCACCTGGTTACTGCCCACGCAGCCGTGTTAAGTTCCCAGGTCAGTCTGTCTCCTTGTGAGAAGCCTGCCCCTTCGTGTCCCCAAATGGCTGGCCAGCTGCAACCCTACACAGGGGAGGGGACTTCCGGGACCATCTGCTACGGAGGATCCTCAAGCCTCACGCGACTCCTTGTGGTGCTGGAGCTGCTGCTCTGTGGCGGGGTCTTCAGTCTTCCCCCGCTCAGAGTGCTCACTCCGCACCCGGGCCCTGGGCTGGAAGTCTGCCCTCTCACGCCATCCTCGTCCTCGTCCTCATCTCCCTCCCATTCCCAGGCTGCAGCCGTGGGGGCAGGGAGCACGCGCTCAGAGCAGCAGCTGCAAATCGACAGGCAGAGGCCTCCTGGTCACGGGATCCGCACCGGGCTGAGAATCCACCCCTGGGCGGCCGGACTGAATTTCCAGGTTAAAGCCTGTTACACAAATACAATACCTGAGTGCGTGCTCCCCAAATAATGTCGCTGAGCTGTGACACAAAGGGGTGGCTTTCATCAGGAGACCAGAGGCAGTGGACCTGGTTCTGTCACTTACTTCTCCTGTGACCCCAGGCAAGTTTCCTTCACTTCTCCCAGTCTCAACTTCCTCTCTTGTGACATGGGGATCCGGACAGGCACTCTGTGACTGACAACATTTGGTCCCGAGGGAAACGCTGGACACCTTAACTGGCTGGTAGCGCTGTCTCCTGTGACCCTTGCGTGAGTGGCACTCAGGAAGACAGCGGGGGTTGACCAGTGTTCCCTGCTCTGCGTATGAATGAACAACAGCCTTCCTCCTGGCCACCCGTAACTCCCAGCCTTCCACTCGCTGCCCCGATCGCCAGGGAGAAGCTCAGGCACGGCTCGTCCCTGCAGTCTCTGCTCTCACAGAGGAGCGCGTCCCTCGTTCTCTGACAAGGCTTTCTAAGCCAGCCCTGCTTGGACTGTGCATCTTGGACAAAGTCCAGGGGGAAATGCAAAAGCGAGGCAGGGGGCCGCCTCAAATCCTCCGCTGGCCTTCCTCTCAGATCCCCGCTGTCCGCGCAGCAGGCACACAGCGAGGACCTGACAGCCCCCGGCGCTCATTTGTTCTACCTGAGATTCCTGGCTCTCGGCTATTATCAGCAGGGGCCCCTAACAAGGCGATTAAGGCTAATTACAAAGAACCTAATTAACTGGAGTAAACTGGCGCTGGAACAGTATCCAGAGGAAAAATGTTCTGAGTGTGCGTTGCCGGGAGACAGGTTCTGGACCGAGGCTAAATTTGGGGCAATCCATAGCAATTCCCAGAGACTGAAGGGACACAGAGAGGAGAAGTCTGGGCACGGCATCTTTCAAGAGGGCCTTCCTGTCTTCCTTTCAAGATGAACAACTTTTACTGACACCGTTATTAGAGTTATGTAAGGAAGATACTCATTGTAGAAAAAGGGCTGTTTTTACACCAGATTTTCACTTCCGCGAGAGATTTTCCATCGAGGGGGGAGGCTGGATAACTGTTTAGGGGTGCAGGGTGAAGCGGCTGCTCCCACATTCCCTCCGGGGACATGCGGAGGGAGGCCTCAATCCGATTCCAGAACTTGAGCTTGTCCACTAGCCCAGTTCTTTACAAGGGCTGCTAGAGACACTCTGCAGCTAGAGACATGTGTGAGGAACGCCTGGAAAGTGACATCTCAGCTGTGTTTCTTGAAAAGCATTCTCTTGAGTATGTCATTCTGTCTCCTCGTTACACTGGGGGAGCTTCCCGGACAGAGAGCAGGCTTCCCCCGCCAATGGGTGTTTATTTCCTCTGGGCCTCCCTCCTCTCTGGGCCAGGCCAGGCTTCAGGACCCAGTGACCAGCGGGGCTGTGGTGGGAGCCGAGAGCGGCTTCTGTTGAACCGTGGCCAAGAAGCCCAGGGCCAGTTCTGACACCCACTCCACTCCACACCCACCTGCAGGAATGGCCAGTTCAATGGAAAACCAAGGATGCTGTGGGCTCTCTAATTGTAACCAGGCGTCTTCCCACCCTGACCCACCAGGCTCACGCCCTCCCCACCTAATCCATCTGCCACTGGGGAGCCGCTGCCAACAACTGCTACCCAACCTGGGTGGAGGGCGCCGAGAGGGCTGGACTGGGCGCCTTGTGTGGATTAAAGAGCGCCGGGAGCCGCTGCAATCGAACTTTCCTCCGAGGATCTCCACAGGGCTCCTCCGGCCCCGGCACGCAGCCCCCGGACCTGGGCGAGCTGCCCACCCACACCGGTGTCTCCCCTGAGCCCCTGCATCAGTCA